GATCCGCGGTGCACGTAACGTCCCCAAATAGCACCCCCCCTACCTGTTGCCAATTGGGGCACACCAGCTCCCCAATCCGCATGGCACCAAAGAATGCCAGGGAAAAAGCCAGGCGAAAGACCCGAACCTCGAAATCCAAATGTACAATGAACGCCTAGGTAGCGTCTTCCCAACTCCGCAACTTAACAGGAAGCTGAGCCCCGCCAAGTGCGCCGAAATGGCCGAGGGAGACAACCCAGTGGCCTCCCATTCCCCCAGGAAAAGAACCAGACCCTGCAGACGAGTGGCTGACTCCTGGAAGCCCCCTTGGGACCTCTCCCACCCGCCCCATTCCCTTCCAACATTGTTATAGCGGTCCCATGTGGCAGCAGCGACCGACCCACAAACCAATTCCATTAATCTCTCAGACCCAATGACCACATCTCTGTTGGACACGGGACACCCTCCAATTCAGCTTGCGGGGCCACTGTCCAAAACACGTCCCACTGTGAACGAGAGAGAGCATCGGCCATCACATTACGAACACCCAGGATGTGTACAGCCCTACAATACACATTCAGCTCCAGACAGCGCATAACCAGGCGCCGCAGCAAGCGAACCACGGGGGAAGAAGGCGACAGTTGGTTAATAGCCTGCACCACCCCCAAGTTGTCACAATGGAAAACCACCTGTCTGTCCACCAGCAGGGAACCCCATACCTCCAACACTACCAGAATAGGGAAGAGCTCCAGAAACGCCAAATTTCAAGTGAGCCCTGCCGTATGCCAGGTCTCCGGCCAAGAGTCAGCGCACCATTTGGAGCCCAGAATGGCCCCAAAACCGGCCGAGCCAGCCGCATCGGTAAACAAATGGAGGTCCGCATTAGAAACCTCCTGGGCCTGCCAGTACGACCTCCCATTATATGAGGCCAAAAAGGAATCCCAGACAGCCAACTCAGCCCGCAAGGGCCGCGTAAGCCGGATAAAGTGCTACGGGCGAATAACCCCAGATGTCGCCGCCGCCAAGCGCCTGTTAAAGATATGCCCATTGGGAAAAATCCAACAGGCGAAATTGAATTTCCCCAGCAGAGATTGCAGGCCACGCAACTGGATCTTCCGCTGCCCGATGGCCCGTGAAACCGCTAGGCGCAGGTCCAGGACCTTGTCCTGGGGTAACCGACATTCCCCGGCCACTGAATCGATTTCAATGCCCAGAAAACTAAGGCACGTGACCCGACCCACCGTCTTGTCACGAGTCAACGGAACACCGAATCGCTGAAACACCTCCCCGAGAACCCGCAACAAGAGGGAACAGACGTGCGATTCCGCCGGCCCTACACACAGGAAGTCATCTAGGTAATGCAGAAGGGAAGCGACCCCCACTTCCCTCTGCACCACCCATTCCAGAAAAGTGCTAAAGCACTCAAAATAGAAACATGACAGAGAGCAACCCATAGGGAGGCACATATCCACAAAGAACTGTCCTTCAAAAGCACAGCCCAGTAAATGATGGCACTCCGGATGCACTGGAAGCAGCCGAAAAGCAGATTCCACATCCGCCTTTGTTAGCAATGCCCCGGGGCCAGCAGCCCTCACCATGCGAACCGCCGCATCGAAGGAGGCGTAGGAAACCCTGCAAAGCTCAGCCGAGATGTCATTCACCGAACCCCCCTGAGGGTAAGACAAATGGTGAATTAGGTGATACTTACCGGGTTCCTTCTTAGGCACCATGCCCAAAGGAGAAACCCGCAAGTTAGGCATGAGTGGGGAGGAAAACGGGCCGGCCATCCGGCCCAAGGAGACCTCCTTCCCCAGTTTCTCCCAAACCACATGAGTAAATTCCCGCATAGACCTGAGTGCTGTGGAGGGCGCTCTGAGAAAGGGATCCAAAAACCCCGCTCAAACCCCTCCGCCAGGATTCGTGCTGCAGCCCGGTTCTTATAAAGGTCGAGCCACGGGCGCATCGCATTTACGAGCACCGGGGTCGTCGCCCTTAGCCCCCATGTCCCCTTTTTCGCCCGTTTTTCCCCGCTTGAAACAGCGAGAGGCGGGATGAGCTCCGGCTGCGGTGGGTGCTTAAACTGGCACAAGGACCCCCACTTGCAGTGACTGTCGTTGAACTTCCAACAACAGCCCGGCCTCTGATTGGGGGCCGATGGGGCAGAGGAGCCCCCACCGCCCCCCCAAGAAAGGACAAAAATGCACCCGGCTGGGGGGCTGGACAGGTCATAATTGCGAGCCAGAGACCAATTTCCATCTGGTACCAAGACAGCGATGGACACACTGCCAGCCGCTGCCGAAACTGCTCGTCATACATCCACCACCCCAGCCCCCCATAGGTTCGACAAGCATTCCAAATCGTGTCCTGATAACAGAACAATGCAGAACACTTCTGGGGAGATTTCTCCCCCAGCACGCTGGCCAGAACGGAGAACGCCCGAATCCAATTCCCAAAAGTTTTGGGAATCTTCAGAGAGCGGTATTTTTCCCTATTTTTTTCAGATTCCTTACTGTCATTTTCCGCCACGGGAGGAGCTTCCTCCAGCGGCAGGAGAGAAAATATATCGACGAACTCACCCTTCCAAATTTTCTCCCTTGTTTCCTGCTTTAAGTGCAGGCCCAGAGGGCCAGACCAGCACATATAAGCCGCGCCACGTCCGCAACGCCCGCCTCGGGGGGAGCGTCACCCGCGGGTGCACAAACACCGGCCACCGTGGGTCCAGGGGGACCCAGGGGCAACGAACCACTTCCCACAACTGAAAGGGGGCCAGGAGGGGGGGAGCCTGATCCGCAGGGGGGAGCTGCGCGGGGGACCAAACAGATCGCAGCTGACTATCCACAGAGGTGTCCCCACTACCTGCCGCCCCCCGTTCCCACTGATCCAAAAAAACCCGAAGACCCGAGAGAAACCCCCCCAGCCCAAGACCCGAAGTGGCAATAGAGGAGGGGACATTGTACTCACCGGCTGCAGCTTGGCGATCCAAACCCTATACTGCATTCACAGAAGTCTGAGGCACTGAAAGCTGGGTTCCAGCATCCAGAGAAGACATCAGCTGTGTTCCAAGCGCCACCTGCTGGACGGGTCCTTGAACTGCAGCAGTGTCCTGAGAAGAGAGCAGTGGAGAAGACGTGAGCCCATGCCCCAGAGGAGATGGCCGAGGTAACTGACCTGCAGGGGGGGGGAGGGGGTCCAGGCATGGGCGTCCGCAGGAATTTTTCCTGGGGGGGCCATAATTGTAATGACATCCATGCTTGGTACCTTTTTGACAGTGTCATGAAAGGGAAGGGGCATAGCCATTATCACATAAAGCCAGGGTGAATAGCGTTTTCACAACTGGTGTCAGGAATATATGTTTGTATTACTGACACTATAGTGTTCCTTTAAGCAAATTAAAGGACATTTCTGGTCACCTTAACAACTTCACCTAAATGAAAATGCTATGATGCCAGGAAGCCCCTGTGTGCTCGCTTTCCTTTAAGGGGTTAAATCGCTCTCAAATGGTTTAACCCCAAAGGCTTCCTCCAGCTCCAGGTCACTCAGTGGTATTTGGCTTCTGAAACAGAGTGTCAGGAAGTGCAGATTGACGTCAGGCATGGGTGCCACTGATTGGCTAGAGTGGACAGTTGACGCTCTAAGCCAATCGCTAGTTCCCGGTTCATAAAATATTTTTATTTTTTTATGAATGGGGAGCTACTGATTGGCCTAGAGTGCCAGCTGTCCGCTCTAGCCAATCAGCTACACCCCTACCCAACGGCACTCTGTGCTTCCTGACACTCAGTAAATAAAAGTGAACACATTAATACTGATATTTTTTTACATTTGGAGATGAGAAGGTTCAGCGTTTCCCTGCCTGGCCTTATGATGTGGTGTCCAGAATAAAGTGGAGGGTTCACTTAATTTGTCCTTCCTGCTCCAATCTCCTTTTCCTCTCCTTCATTTGACAATCTTTTTTTTTCTTCTGACACTGTTTAATATCCTTGGCCCCTTCTGCTCTTTTACCTTTCTGCTACTTTCTGCTTATTTTGCGCCCTTCTGCTCCTTTCTCATTCTGATCCCTTTCTGCTCCCTTTTCTACTTTACCTTTGTGCTCCTTGCTGTCCCTTTCTGCTCCTTCTCCTTCTTTACCTTTGTGCTCCTTCTGATTCTTTCTGCTCCTTTACCTTTGTGCTCCTTCCTGCTCCTTTCAGGCCCTTCCTGTTCATTTCTGTTCATTTGTGCTCCTTCTCCTATTTTACCTTTTGTGCTCCTTGCTGTCCCTTCCAGCTCCTTGCTGCCCCTTTCTTCTCCTTGATGTCCCTTCCTGCTCATTTCTGTTCCTTCTCCTTTTCTTACTTTACCTTCCTGCTCCTTGCTGACTCTTCATGTAGGCTGTCTCCCCCATCCCTCACTTCCATAGGCGTGCGCACGGGGTGTGTCGGGTGAACCTGGGCACACCCTAATCCCCGCGGCACGCCAATGGATTGAGACCGGCAGGGGAGATCTCTGGATGCGGCGGCTCTGGTCTAAGCCTCCATGGGCCGGTGGGGAGATCAAAGTTCTACCTCACCGGTCCACAGCAGCATGGAGGGAGGCACTCTCCACTGAACCACCAGGGAAGGCAGCAGGACTGGGATATTAACTAATCTGCCCCCACCTCCACCCAAACATACAGCACACACACACACAGCCCACAAACAGCACCCACACACATACATCACCCTCGCACACACAGCACCCAGACACATACAACACCCACACACACCAAGTACACTAACAGCATCCTCACAAACACACAAAACCACACACACAACACCTGCACAGCACCCACACACAAACAGCACACTCACACACAAACAGCACCCTGACAAACACACAACACCCACACACAGCACACAAACAGCACACTAACAGGACCCGAACAAACACGCACACACAAACACCCTGTCTCACACACACACACACAGCACACTACCAGTTCCCTCACACACAGCACACAAACAGCACCCTCACACACAGCACACTAACAAACACACACAAAGTACCCTCACCCATAGCACACACACACCACCCTCACACACACACAGCAGTGTGTATATATATATATATATATATATATATATATATATACACATACATATACACATGGCGTGTGTTTGTGCTTTAGGGTGCACACCCTAATGCAATAGGCTGCGCACGCCTATGCTCATTTCCCTAATCTATAGGCTGCTGCCCCCCCCCAGCCTCACCCCTCCTAATCTATAGGCTGCTGCCCCCCCCCATTCTCACTCCCCTAATCTATAGGCTGCTGCCCACCCAGCCTCACTCCCCTAATCTATAGGCTGCTACCCCCCAGCCTCACT